ACACTAGAAAGTATTTCTAAGTGGATCATAGTCCTAAAGAAAAGAATTAAATAACATCAAAAAATCTAAAAGGAAATAGGAGAAAATCTTTGTGAACTTGGGTTAAACAAAGATTTCTTAGGATGTATAATGCGCAAATTATAAAAGAAAATGTTGGTAAATTGGACACCAACAGGATTAAAAACTTTACTTCTTAAAAGATAAAGTTAATTAAATCAAATGGCAAGCCACAAATTAGGAGAAATATTTACAAAAAATATAACTGTAAAGATATCCTTGTATCTAGGATATGTAAAGAGCTCTTAGAATTCAATAATAATATGACAACTCATTAAAAATGGGCAAATGATTCAAACAGACACTATACAAAAGAAGGTATACAAGGTCATTAGGGAAATTCAGATTAAAGCTGCAAAGAGAACCCCCATACACCCACTAGGATGACTGTAATTAAAAAGGTTCACAGTACTAAGTGTTGACCAAGAATGTGGTGTAACTGGAGCCCTTACGGCATTACTGGTGAGAAGGAAAAATGGCTCAGCCGCTTTGGAAAAATTCAGCAGTTTGTTAAAAAGTCAAACATAAAAAATAAGCAGTTTCACTCCTCAGTATCTACTGAAAAAAGATGGAACCTTAGGTCCATATAAAAAGTCTTGTAAGTAAATATTCATAGCAACTTTATTTATGTTAGCTAAAAAATAAAAATAATCTGGTGACCTCACCTTATAAATGTAAACTTAATGTGGTAAATTATTGAGAAATTAGGGGAACAAATAATTTACTGATACATAAAACAAAATAAATGAAACCCCAAACACTTGCTAAAGCAAAAGAAGCCAGGCACATAAGACCACATACTGAATAATTCCATTCATATGAAATTTCTGTCATTGTAATTCTGCCTTTTCTAGAATTTTGTATGACTTGAAAAGGCAAAATTATAATGACAGAAAACCTGGGGGTGGGGATTAACTGTAAAAAGACAAACTTATTGGGGTGTCAAATGCTTTCTAAAATTTGTTTATGGCTGGGGCTGCTAAACTACATACATTTACCAAAACTCACCAAAATATACATACAAAATGAGTGAATTCTACTGCATGTGGATTATAGGTCCGTAAAACTGTATTGTAAAAAAGATTAAAATGTTACAAATAGATTAGAGGCTAGAATGAATACAAAACTGCAAGTTGAATATAAAACACAATATCCTGAAAATCTGATGAAAAATTTTTTTGATTACTTTTTAAGGTGAAATTTGCATAACATGTAATTAACCATTTTGAAGTGTACAATTTAGTGGTACTTAGTGCGTTCACAATGTTGTGCACTTATTGGCTCTATGTCAAAACTTTTTCCATTGTCTCATTAAAAACACCCCATGTCCATTAAGTGATGACTCCCAATTCTCCCCACCCCATCCCCTGATAACCTTTGGGGATGTGATATAAAAAGAATTACACAACAGACCTTTTGTGTCTGATGTCTTCACTTTGCGTTATATTTTTAAAGTAAGTTTTAGCATAGTCAATACTCTGTTTCCTTTTTTATGGCTGAATGATATTCCATTGGATGTTTGTTCCACAATTGGTTTATCCATTCACCTGTTGATGGACACTAGGGTTGTTTTTACCTTTTGACTGTTATGAACAATGCTACTGTACATATTGGTGTACAAGTTTCTGTGTGGACATGTTTTCATTTCTCTTGGGTATATACCTAGGAGTAAAATTGCTGGGTCACATGGTAATTCTGTGTAATTTTTTTTAATGGAGGTACTGGGGATTGAACCTGAGACCTTGTGCATGCTAAGCATGTGCTCTACCACTGAGCTATACCCCAACCCCTGTTTAATTTTTTGAGGAACTGTTTTCCACAGTGGATGCACCCTTTTATTTTCCCACCAGGATCGTACAAGGGTTCCTACTTCTCTACACCTTTGCCAACATTTTTTTTTTCTGATTTTGTTTAAAGCTGTCCTGTGGTTTTGATTTGCA